CTCTCGGCTATCGCCTCGAGCGACTCTTACGCTTCTTTCGTGCTTAGCAACCTCCCGCGTGCATCCATAACTCAATAGTGTACGCTGTGGGGTTTACCATTTGTTAAACATCCTTGATCATCGCTGGAAAATTAAACTTGCAGCTAAAACGACACTACACTTTCCGTTATGCGAAAGCTAACAGAGAAATTCACTTCAGGGTGAAACCATTTGAGAGAGAGTTTTAACCTAATTCGTTTGGATAACACTTGAAGACAGAAAAGCAAACTTGTCATTAGAAAAAAATCCGTGTAAACTATTATCTTCAATACTAACAATAATTCTTTTTTAACCAAATCCAGTGAAGGGATGAGTCCATGTAGAATTGTCATGAAACACATTTTCGATCATGAAAGTAGATAATTGAAAATCAACTTACAAAACAGGACCACCGATATTGTGAACCACTAAAATTAGCAGCTTGATGATAATTGATAATTGATAATTGATAATTGATAATTGAAAATCAACTTACAAAACAGGACCACCGATATTGTGGACCACTAAAATTAGCAGCTTGATGACCTTGCTTTTGTTCAAGTTTGGAAGCTCCAAACGTCCAAAGAAGCTGAAAAGAATCATTGAATCATTGAAAAACGATTAAAAAAAAGAAAATTGAATACTCATTTGACTTACAGAAAACGTCAATGTTGAAAGAGACTGAGCAATTTGCAATTAGAAGTCGCCTGAAAGGACCAGACACGTTTACGCCAAAAACTGAAAGTTAAACCCCAGGTTTGAAAAGACACAACCTGGCAAACGAGGGTCAAGAACACCGCGCTGCCTCAATTTTCTTTATGTCTGTCTATCTATAAAGTGTTTGGCTGTTTCGGTCGCACGATTTCATGCAAGGGCGTAGCCAGGGGGGTCCTGGTGTTCCCGTGACCCCCCCTTAGTAGGTCTTCTTTAGAGCAAACAACCTACAATATTCAGGTGGCGAAAACGCCATGACAATATCTTGGCCGTAAAAGCCATTGATATGGGTCTTCATGCCGCGATAATACGACTGAGCCCGCTGATATACGCGGGAGAGTAGCGGTGTAAATGGTGAGTAGCCTCTGTGACCACCCCCTTTGAAAAATCCTGGCTAAGCCCCTGTCATGAAAGAGACTGTTCGTAAGAATTGCAAGACACTTCAATAATAAGGTAATAACAATTAACCTCTTCTTTGAGTAGGCAGCTGGTGTTCCATTTATTGATCGCGATCCATTGACCAGGACACGAACGATTCCATTGGCTTTCTCTGCAAACTAGAACGTTAAATGATAAATAACTTGAATTTCAATTTTGATTGGCTGATTACAAATCGTAACTACTCAAAGTTGTAAAACTGATTTGGATAAGTGTCTGATATCCCATAATGCTGGCCCAATTCACAGTGTGGGAAAGAACAAATATCTAATTTAGATAAAAGAAGTATTTCATAAGTACATTACGCACAAAAGTTATGGTAGCTGGAGGAACTGTCTGGCAGGGAATCAGTTTACAGACTGCTTCGGCAAACTACTTGTTCGAAGCATAGTCAATGAAAATAAAACGAACAGGAATATCATGGGGTGGGTAACCACCAATACACTGATAAAATCGACTAAGATTTGGCTTCTCCACCCTCGAGCTAAAATGTAGAGAAAACCGCAAAATATTTAATAAAATAATGTTTCGATTTTGTTTTAGATTTTTTCTCTTAAAGACAAAAAAGAAGCAGGACCTCGTCAATTGCAAAGCATTCGATATGGAAATCATTCATTCAGAAAATGAGCGGGGAATTTGTTGTCATTTTTTTATCCCTTTAGATCCCGTAGACTTATCTGTAGGTTAATAAGAGGTCGCTTAACTCCGTAACCCATAAGAGTGACAAGAAGCTGACTTCTTCTCCCAGCGGTATCTACCCGCCATCTCACATATAATAGGGACTTTAAGCAGTCAGGAAGGCAACGCCACGGAAGACGTCGATTAAAAATTGAGTTTCTACTTTTAGTTAGAATTTCGAAAATGGCCGCATGTGTTTACCGTCTATCTCATAGGGCGCCAGACCTCAAACTGAACAAAACGCATAAAAGTGGCGTTGAGTTCCAAATGTAAATTAAATAATTTGCGCCGCGGTTTCGCTTTGCAGACGACGCAAGTTTTAGTGATTTCACGTTGTTGTTTCAGTTTGCAAAGGACGGCTAAGAGATGTACAAAGTTTTAAAACGCACGTGCTGGACTATTGTTCTGCCAATTAGATCTATTGTTTTTCCACGTTCTCGTTGCCGTAGCCGTCGTGGTTTGCTTAAATTCCCTATTAACCATCTATATGAAACAGTCGGCGAACAATCAAGTAATACTTACTCTTTTTGAAGCAAGGCCCCAAAATGGCCAGTCGTCGCAACTTGGACAAGAAGTGTAGTTAATACCATCAGATGATTTATTTTGGGAACCACACCAAGTCAAGTTATTCATCATCCATCTAGGAATGAAAAAAAAAAGTTTCAAATAATGCTTACTGACAACAACAACAACTTTATTCACCCTTATTCTTAAAAAGATTAAGTTAACATCTAATAAAAAATTAAAACTAAGAGGGTGTTGGCTCCCTAAAATTAACAAGGTTAGGAAGCCAAAATTACATAGATATATCTTATTAACCAACCGCGAGGGCCGTACTGGGAGAATATCGGCCCGAGGTCTTGACAGTACGGACCGAGCGCAGCGAGGTCCGTACAAAAAAGACCGAGAGCCGATAATCTTCCAGTACGGTCCCGAGCAAGCGTGGTTAATAAGAGATTTATTACACGACTGAAGTTCAAAGGGACACAAGTGCGGTATCATTCGGGACCATTCGGGGCAGTGCCTGGTCCAATACTGAGAGATAGAGCATTTTGATTGGTTGATTTTAGTTATTGGCCCTCTGACTGCCCGAGTCGTGTAATAAAACGATTTACAATATTAGGGTCGGGACACACACACATACAGATGACAAAAACTGAATAAACACAAATAAGAGAGGGATTTGTACTATACATGTGGAGCTGAAGAGACTCTGACGGAAAATACATGAACATCTAAGCTCACTTACCCTGCCATGGTATCTTCCAACGTGGTCAACCTGAAGTCAAAGTCCGAGTACATGTGAGCTTCTTTGTAAGTTCCAGACCAAAAGAGACTCTAATACGAAAACATCAGTGAAAGACGAATTAAGACGAGTGTTCTTGATAACCAACTTTAAAAGTTACCGTTTAGTCACTTACTGGTTGAGTTATTGATTTTATTATCAATATTTATTTTCCAGAGAGGAGGATGTAAAAGTATATCAAAGCCTGATGGTTATTTCTAATTTTCATTCAATCTTTGCCTTTTATTAACCAGTTGGAAACCAATCAATCTGACAGACTTTCGCGAATTGTATCCGCTCGTAAACAAAACTCAGAGTCCATTGCATATTGCAGCCTTGGTATGTAGCACGTCAATCTCGAGCCCAGGGTCATTTTGGCACCTTGTCAGCGGTATGGTCGTCAACACTCCGCTGACAAGGAGCCAGAATGACCCTGAGCTCGAGATTGGTAGCACGTGTGAAATATCTCTTTTGACGCAGCAACAACAAAGAAAACAAATGAAAAGAAAATCCATTTCCATCAACATAAATCAACTTTTCATGCAAAAACTAAACAGTAATTGCCTAAAAGTTGAATATACTTCTGTAGCCATCACTATTTGCCAATTTATCAGCCTAAAAGTGAATAAGCTTTAAATGGGTCACGCAGTCCACCAGCGTCGCCAACTCTTTAGTTTGAGTCACGCTAACTTATAGTTGCAGTCACGAAAGCTCACGGTTTCGATGCATCCTTGAGCATGAATGCATTCTTGGGCTATCATGAATGCGGAAAAATGAAGCTCAGTTCTTAATTAAAAGCGATGGGAGCAGGGATGGCGCAGTGGTGAGAGCACTCGCCTCCCACCACTGTGGCCCGGGTTCGATTCCCGGACCTGGCGTCTCATGTGGGTTGAGTTTGTTGTTGGTTCTCGTCCTTGCTCCGAGGGTTTTTCTCCGGGTCCTCCGGTTTTCCTCCCTCCGCAAAAACCAACATTCCAAATTCCAATTCGATCTGGAACAGTGGACAAGAATAGCCACCCAGTGGATGTCCATTGTTAAATCATTTATTTATTTATTTATTTATTTATTTAT